CCGGGTTCTGTGACACACATTGGGAACCGTGCCTTTGGTGGGTGCAGGTCTTTGGCAAACTTGATCATCCCGGATTCTGTGACCGACATTGGGAACCGTGCCTTTGAGGGTTGCAGGTCTTTGGCGAACTTGATCATCCCGGATTCTGTGACCCACATTGGGAACCGTGCCTTTGGTGGGTGCAGGTCTTTGGCGAACTTGATCATCCCGGATTCTGTGACCCACATTGGGAATGGTGCCACCACGATGTCGCGTCCACTCCCAGAAACGCCACGCCGAACGGCCAAACTCACGACCGCTCGTCCAGAGGGTGGAATGCCGAAGTCACGACCGCTTGGCTTCAGGGAGTCTTTCTGGGATGGCACTCTGTGGACCCTTCCAGTCCCCTGAAGTGTTTGGGTTCTGAACCACCACGGGGTCGACCGTTTTCGGAACCCCTCGGTTTCTGGGTTCAGCGGCTCCTCCCGGTGGGGAGCGCTTGGAGTGGAACGTCCGCCGCCAGGCGGAAGAAGCGCAGCTGCAGGAGCGGCGACTTCTTTCGGTGCGTCTCGAGCCGTGACCTGCCAGGGTGCCCCCCAAATGATCAACTGCCAACAGAGGTTGAAGAACCCGAACTAAACTATACTATATATAGGTACCCCTGGTTTTCCGGGTCCGAACGTTCAGGTCACTCTCCACCTCTGTTGGTGTGGGTGTGTTGAAACATAGGGAGACCGACCCCCGGCAACGACCAACCCGGTGGGTTCGGGAAACGGGAACATCGGTGACCGGTGATGTCGGGGGGCAGGCGAAGATCAACAGGTGATGGCATGCTGCATGCTGTTACATCCACCTTTATGCCATCACAAAACAAGTCATAGAAGATATAGAACTGCCCCAACATCCATCCAGATCGACCCTTGCAACAGGTCGTGGCTGATGAGGCGTCTCAGATCGATGCATCAGCAAGGTAGTTGGTGTTCACTGCCAGGTGTGGCGTCCCAACCGCGGCACGTCCGCTGGTTTGGTCGGCTGGAGGCCTTGCGGCTGGAGGTGAAGCGCCTCAAGAGCGAGTGCGACACGCTCCGGCGAGCCTCGGAGGCGCGAGGACGTGGGCGGTGGCGGTGGCGAGACGTGGAGAGGGTGCAGACATGAGCCCGGTGCAGGCCAGTGGGGAGAATCAACTGGCCTGAGGAGTTGAAGGGAAGGCTGAGCCCTTGGGAAGACATGGAGAAGACAGAAGCTGCATGTGCAAGAACTCGTCCATGCAATGAGTGCAGTGGGTCCTGAGGAGGAGCTGGTCCCATGGTTTGAAACTGCTGGAGTATGGGTGATTTCATGCGATTTCACAGTGTGATTTCACACCCAAACCTGTCAGAACTTGCTTCAGAACTTGGACTTTTTCTCTCACCAGACTCAAAAGCAGATGCCCAGGGGATGGAGACGCCCTGGCGTTCAAACCATCTGAAACCCACGACATTTGGACTGGAGGTCGTTGCAGACCATTTCTTCATCCAGCTTGTTTTTCATCAGACCTCCCCCACTGACCCCCGCTCATCGTCCGAATGGAGGATGGATGGAGAGCGGCACCATGAAACGGTCACTTACACATCTTGAAACGGTCGCTGGGAAGGTTCTAGAGGCAGTTCTCGTTCTGGACAGCAGCATTGAAGTGACTCCCTTCGACATTGACCAGTGATCGACTGCCCATACCGGTCTGCGAAACAGGCCAAGGAGCGCGCCGGCACGGACGACTCCTTTGCCTCGCTGCTTGGAACAGAGGTCCTGGGGTTGGAACGAGCCTGGGAAGACGAAGTCGTTGGGAGAGAATCTGGGATCTGGATCTGTAAAGATCGAATTGGGAGAAAGTGGTGTTTTTTGGGAGGTTTTCCATGGTCCATGGCCAGTTGTTCGAGGCCTAAATGATTGGAGATGCTTCACACATCTTCACCATGCGCGTCTTTATGACTCAGCTTCGGGCTCAATTCCAGCTGCAGAACCTCCTCACTGCGACACTGGCACCACCCAAGCCTTGGGTCGACACCCACGTGTCCAAGACGGCTGGGTTCTGCGCTCCATTGGCGCCAACGGGCGCGTGGGTTCTGCGATTGGGAGGCTCACAGCACCGAGAAAAGGGTAGACATGGGACTGCCCCATTGACCCCCTGGCACCACCCCTGGCCTGATCGGCATATATGGCAGTCCCAGACTGGTCGCGTCTGGGTATGGCAACGCATTCCATGGAAGCGACCTCATTCGTTGGACCGTCGTAGTCGACACACAGGTTCCCAACAAGGGCGCGCGGCCAGGGTCCAACGAGAGAGAACGAGAGAGAACGAGGGCACCGATGGCCAGTTCCAAGTACTCCTAAACGACGGAGAAACGATGGAGATATTGCTTGTCAATGTCAATCCTTGTCAACTCTTCCAAATTAACTGCCAACAGAGAAATAGCTAGCAGCTATTAGCCTTCAAATAGAATCTATTAAGAAAAAAGACAGCCAGAAAAAAGGGGCCTGGCATGTGTGCCTAGCTTCTAGCCTGCCAGCAGAGCTTCTTCAGAACCCTATATTATAGACATATATACCAGCAGTCACAAAGGGGTGCTTAATGGAGGTTAGGGGTGCCCATGATCCACTCACTTAGGGACTAAACACCACCCCTTTGTGACTCCTGGTAGACTATCCGTTCGCCCCCTGGTTTTCCGGGTCCTAGTTCAGGTCCCTCTCCACCTCTGTCGGTGTCGTGTCGTCCGTGTCGTCGCCAAGGACTCCGCACTCGCGCTCCGCAGGCGGGTTCCCCGTTCGGTGGCGGGAAGAGCACCGTGGTATGGACCTGTGTAGCGTAAATAGACCGATTTACTATAGCAATGCTGTACATTTAGAGTACCAGATGTAGTATAGTAATTTATTTTCAGTGGTCCGGTAAAATTTCATGGTACTTTATTTCATTGCCGATCAATTTCATGTTTAAACAAACGGTTAAAACGCGATAAAGCAACATCTCCTCCCGCATTCTGTTTCCAAGAAACTGTCCAGCAGTGCTTGTTCGACCCTCCAAAGATTTGGGTCATGCAAACAGGTTGGTCAGAACTCTACCAGCACCTTTGACCGGTATATCTTGGTGTGAGTAGCTATAGGAATACTGAAGTGCCGGGGGTGGGGGTGGGGTGAGATTTGATTCAAACCCACATCCAAGCTGCTGGCGTGCAGTTTGTATCAACCCATCCACAAAAAAGAACACGAGGCATCTCTTTCGCTAGGGTGGAGAAACGCACGTGTTCATTCACAGTGCCGAAAGACCTCATTCTCCTTTCTTTTACCCCAAAGAGGCATTATGGTCCATCATTACTATTAATTACTATTGTTATTATGGTCCAACATGCATGGAACTCATTGTGAAAAGGTTCGGCGTGGACGTGGTTTCTCGACATATATATATGTATGTATGTATGTATGTATGTATGTATGTATGTATGTATGTATGTATGTATGTATGTATGTATGTATGTATGTATGTATGTATGTATGTATGTATGTATGTATGTATGTATGTATGTATGTATGTATGTATGTATGTACTATGGCGTACCTTGTACGTCCACTGCCACCGAGGACGGGTGAACCGGAGCCACACCAAGTCTCTCCATCTAACCCCACATCCCAGGCCCTACAAGGGTGGTCATGCCGTCACCCCTGTGGACTTCCAATGACTTCCAGTTTTTCAGGGTCTCCGCTCGCTCCCGAACCGGACCGACTCGCTCCCGAACCGGACCGCCACGTCGTCCCCCAGCGGTGGGGACGGAACCCGCCGTTCACGGCGGCGACTGGCCAGGGAAGAAAGTGACCTTCGGCTCCCAGGAGAGACCAAGAGAGTCACCTGGGGTACCGAACTGGCTGACCCACCTCTGTGACTTCCGCGGGAAGCATCGCGAGTCGGGTTCCCCCGAAGAGGACGCATCCAGGGGGCGAACAAAGAGTTGGAATCTTTTGGAGACTCGCCATTGGGGGGAATCATGAACTGAAACAAAGGACTTTGACCAACATGTGGGCCGAGTGGATTTTGGATGTGAGTTCGTTGAAAAGACGCGGGCAGACATGACCCACAACCCTTGTGCAGAAGACAGTGACCGCTGACCAGAAACCTCAATCAAGACATGTGTGATCCCTGGGAGTCCAGTCGACTATAAAAAGAATGGTCTGACCAGGGGACCTGAGTCCGGGAACTTCCTTTACTTCAGCCGGTCAAGATATAATAGTCAATAGTCTTTGGACTTCTAGGGTAATTATATGACATTATATGTATATATATATATATATATTAGGGTAGATCGATAGTGCCAGATTTTGATTGACTTGTAACATGTTGATGCTTTTGAGGTGGTAGAGGCAACGAGAGAAGTGCTCCGAACGAGCAGTGCCATGCGGTTGGACCATCGCCTCAGCACCATCACCTTCCATGTCCATGTCTCGGGCAACTCATCCCCTCAGCGCAAAACACACCAGGATCTGACAGGTGGAGTCACTACGCAGCCATTGTTTTCTGGTTCCAACCGGCGAGACCCAGCATGTCCCTCCAGTGCCCTCCTCTTCGTGGTGAAGCTCGTCACGCTGTCGGCCGCTCGCCCTCGACGGTCCGACCTCGGGCCGCGGCAGCGGCGGACGTCCGTCGCTCCAGGAGCACAAGCTCTTCCAGGGGTGGGCCGAGGAAGTCGAAGCGGAGCAGGCGGACGGAGCAGGGAATCCGCCCGGACGAGCGAGCTTGACCGACCGGTCCGATGGAAGGGAGGTCACGAAGGAAAGCGGGAGGGGGGGGGGCGTAGAGTTCTGAGTCCAAAGAATGGGACATCTATAGACTATAGATCATCCATCATACATTATCATGATATAGGTAGTGTGGGGTAGTTCATTGGACACCCCGACAGGAGGGTCCTGGTATAGACCATAGTTATTGACAGGAACTGAAGCCTTTGGGCCTCACATGTCTCCCACAATTAAGCTGTCCTAGAGATCCCAAATGGGCAAGAACAGTGACGCCAAATAGATTCAAAAGAGACTCGTGATTCACGCATCTCCCAGTTCCATGGTTTCGAAGCTTAAGAGGTTTTTGCTGTTGACAGCTCAAGAAATCCAGCTGTTCCATGCTGATGAGAGCTGAATATTACGAGCTGAGTACACTCCAGCCTTTGAAGCTGTGGTGGGGCTGTGGTTGTTTTCATTTGTTCCGTCCACCGTCCGCCGTCCACTTTGCGCGTTGCAGATCGGTCCCGATCCTGGGCCGATCCGTCCGAGTTTCGGTCAACGGCTTTTGACCCACGCAGGTTAGGACGGGGCTCTGAACCAAGCTACGTTCGTCTCAAAGCCCGTTCGTTCGGTGAGTTTCGGGCGTAGTTCCGTTTGGGAGTAATCCTGTTTGGGAGTCCAATGCTTTTTTTTGTGATTTCGAAGCAGTGGGCTGGGTAGTTCAGCCGGGAGAGTCCTCTGAAACCTCTGGGTGGGACGGTGACCAGGTCTGTCCAGGTACCCTCCGAACATCATGGAGCCTTGGAAGTGGATGGCATGGACCCTATGACGACCAGGACCCCCTGTTTGGGATGTCTATTGATAGCCCCGAAAAGAGGTAGATTCGGGGTGTCCATTAACCACCCCGACCGTGGGTCCTGGTATATGTCCCTTTGCAAACAGGGTGTTCTCCACTTCCATGTTAAATGATTCGGAGATTGACTCAGTGCACCCCTATTGCAAGGGCCGAGAACCTCAAGGTCTGACAGCCTTCTGTCCACCATTTTCTAGACATCATGCAGATATAAACGGCTGCCCTCGGATCATGGGGGCATGTACCCAATCACCACCATGGACATCCACCAGGATGGGCACCACAACATGACTGGCCCTCGGATAAGGGGCCCACCACCGGCCAGTGTTTGATGATAAGCTTCACCTACAAGTCAAAGACCTCATCTTACTGGAGATGGTCATACAAAACATTACAAAACCGATACGGGATAGGAGGTCAAAGACAAGGTTTGGACCTTTTACGTCAGACTGGACGGACGTAGGGCTCTGTCCACGCAATTCTGGAAGAATTCCATCCGCGTCCATCCCGAGAACGAATCGCCTTTGTCCGGCCAGGTGGGGCAGTCGGGGGAACACAGAGTGCACGAGCCAGGGCGAAAGCGTACGGTACAGCGATGGAAATGACCATCCAGTGGTTGATGTATGTTGATGATTGTTGATGTGCTTCTTCATGGCTGTTCCTGGAACATGGATGTTGCTGTGTTCCTTTCCAAACAGACCAACAGAGGTTGAATTCACCATGAAGAACCCGAACGATCGACTATCCTAGTTGGGTACCCCCTGGGTTTTCCGGGTCCGAACGTTCAGGTCACTCTCCACCTCTGTTGGGAAACCAGCTTCGAAGCCAAACCCCAGCAGCTTCGAAGCCTTTGCTCCACAGCTCTCCACCTCTCACGACGCCGAGGCCCGACGCCAACGCGTCCGCCCGGCCGTCGTCGGGGGAGCTCGGTGTGTCAATGCTAGGACCTTCCAAGTTCGGTGGTGGTTGGACACCCCGAATCACCTCGGCTAAGAGGCCATTGATCTTTTCATCTAGACACCCCTTGGTATAAGATGGTCTAAAGATATCAGACCATTTGACGCCATTTCATAGGGCGTGGTGTTCAAGTCGAAAACCGTATACCCAAGACCAAACACGTGGAAATGGCATGAAATGGCCATGTCACACAGTTCCGAGGATCTTTGTGATGTCCGAGTCCAGGGTGCTGTTCTTTTGTGCCCGGTGCTTTCCCACCACACCATGAGCGAGCTTGCTTTCGAGCTGCTTGGTGCAGTCAAAACAACAGTTGGCCAGATTCTGATTCACCCCGCATGATGCCCCCCACCTCCAGGACCTTCCCTTCGCCCGGTGGGTTTGGGACACTGCGAAGCACCTCTTTAGGAGGCTATTTATAGACAGCCCGTAGAGTAGAGTCGTAGAGTCTGGTTGTTGGAGCTGATCACATGGAGGACTGGCTCCGGACGGACGCAAACTCTCAGGTTGGCCGCGCCGCGGGCCTCGTCCGGGGGTCCGGAGAAATGGGTGGACGGAGGTGGACGGAGGTGCAGTCGGAGTGGGATGAGGATCAGGTTTGGATGCTCCTTCGATGCTGAGGGGGCAAGCTGGCGATGGGTTTACCCATGGCGATGTGATGGTTATTTCCACGATGGCATGACAGGACATGGACCATGAGGGACACCCGAAAAATCCCACAGGCTTCATGACATACTCTACCAAGGCCTTCACTTCGCCTGGTGGTGCTTGGGACTCCCCGAAGCACCTCTTTGGGAGGCTATTTATATATAGACAGCCCGTAGGGTCGGGTCCTGGTCTTCTCAGATCCCGTCCTCTGCTTCTTCATCCCGCACGCCACGTGCGATGATCGGTCTCATCCCTCAGGATGCTTCGACGTCGTGGGAGCAGCAGTGGGACGTGGCCTGGAAGCAAAGGATGCTTGCTTGGGTTGATTGGATTTGTTGGTCCAAAGCTACCTGGACCATCCTGTCTGGGTGTCCTGGCTTACCCATTGTACAGGCACACTTTCCTTGTTTGCAATATTGTTTGGTTTGCTTGCTTGGATTTGCTGCAGCTTCTGCGCTCGGAAAAGATCCCAAGCCCCTCACATGAACGGAACCAAGTCGCCAAAACTGCCACCAGCTCACCAAACGATCCTCGAACGACTGGCAGGAAAGGTGCCGGTATACCCCTTCACTTCGGGTGCCAAGCCGGTGGACCATGACGATCCGTCAACCACGGATGCCTCCTACTAAACCGTGGGATATCTTCAAACGTCCTGCCTCTGGTCATGCTGCTACAGTGCAGCAATGCCCAGCATGCAGCCCCTGCCCTTCCGCCGGTGTGAAGTCGTCGTCGCCACCCAGGGGTTCCAGCCGCTCCAGTGCTGCTTCCTTCAAGCGGGGGCTCGGGGCACCCGGAGATTCCAGGGGCCCGGGTTACGTCCGTGGTGTTGATTGGGAGGAACAGAAGGATGAAGAGGGGGAAGAGTTGTTCCGGGGGAAGCGACAAAACCGAGTCAAAACAGTTGGGGTGTAAGTGAAGATTGGAAGTATATAACTTAACCAATTAGCATATTCTATCACAGTCTTCAGCTTGTGAGTTGGACATCTCATGTCCTGGAGTTTGGCCTGTTGTATCTGGAAAGAGTCTTCACATGGTTTCTCTGCTCGGCTCATTGAAGCCGTTGGCACCCGGCCCGCTCTCCGACCTGGGACAGATCTACCCTCTTCATCTCCACATGAAGGAGTCACGATTATTTATTGGAAATCCCAGGATTCAAATGGTCTTTTCCTCTAGCCTCCTCCCTGGCCCTCCTGCCCCTCCTGCCCACTCCGAACTCCGAGGAGTTTGTGGGGCCTTGAGACCAAGCAGAAGAAGCCCACGACCCTAGTGGGTGCCACCGGGATGACCCCAGCAACGACGCCCGCGGCCACCGGTGCTGCGAAGGAGCCTCAAACGGAAAGATCTCACCACTTGGTTGGATGACGAGGAAGATCTCAAAAGCCATTGATGGGCGCCAAAGAACAAAGGGTTTAGTTGGGGTGCTATGATGGCAAAGACTTGTACATACTTGTACAATATTAAGATTATACAATATGATTATATAAGTGGTGGTTGATACGGAAGACTCCACTTCGCTAGGTCACCTGTGAAAAAATCAGATTCATTCTTACAGTAGGTCGCTGTACAGTCCCATCCATCTGATTCAGCGAGGGAGACGCGGACATTGCAAGCAATTCGTCTCACCCTGTGGGGGATGCATGCAGGAGCTTCAAGAGGGCTCGGACGAAGAAGTTTGCCTGGGTTCGCCTGTGCTGCTTGGCATGCACGCGCCCACCACACCGAATGGGTGGGATTCAGAACGCGTTCTCAACGCGTTCTCAACGGCTTCGTTCGTGGTACCGGAGGTCCATCCCCCTGACGGGTCACTGACGGGTCCGCCCCCCCCGGCTGGGTGAGCGGTCGGGTGCACGTTGGATTCTGCCTAGACCATCCAGGTCCAGCAGCCGGGTAGTCCAGCCAGGACACCCAGACAGGATGACCCAGGTGTGCACGCACCTGAGTTCGGAAGGATCCAGGTATAGGGATGTCCCTTTAGAGGTGAGGCCGCATTTCAACAAGAGAGTCACAGTCGTCCGCATTTCACGACAGACCTGGGACGGCCGCATATTTACATTGGTTTTCATTATGCGACCGAAAAGAGGTGGTTGAACATGATGTCAATTTATAGGCAACATCTTCCAGTCCCACGCTTCGTGTGAATCATGTCCCAAGTCTGTGTCGCATGAGTCGGACAGCCGAACAGTGACTCCTATGAATCGACCGCCAATCTTGGAGCTGCGTCAAACACACACACACACACACCACTCTAATAGCCCTTTCCTTAGAGGTGATTCGGGGTGTCCATTCACCACCCCTGTCCAGGGGGGTTCCAGCGGGTCACACATCCCAAATAAATCTAAACAATCCTAAACATACCTAGCGCTTCCTGTCCGGGTGCCTTGTCTGGAGACCTGTTTACGTAGTGTGGAGATATCCAGCTTCCGGTGACCCCGGAAGCAGCCCGGTGACGCAGCTGGTACCTCCGAATCACTCCTCGACTGCCTTCGCCTTCTTGGCAGACCAAGGGCCCACCTGGCCCCGCCTCCACCGGGCTCCCCGTCGGGTCCGCAGGAATCCGGACGACATCCGCAAGGAGCTGCCAGGCGAGGAAGCCGCGGGCGGTTCGGAAGCCGCGGTGGTCCGTTGGTTCCGAGGTTGGATCCTTGGGGCTTCGGGAGCTCGAGGTTCCCTTTCTTTTTGGGTCAGGAAGCGACACGAAACGTGGACAAATACCGATACCAATGGTCTGGTGTACTTATTGCAGAACTCTCTAAACAGCGGTCAATTCCGAAACTCGATACTATTCAGCAATGGTTCAGCCATCCGGCTGGATGTTCGACGTTTTTCTCATTGACCACCACTGGGCGACGTTGTAGAGAAGGTGTCACAGTTTCAAAGTGAGGGGAACGCATCTGGTATCCATTTCGGGGATCCAACCAGAGCTGTTGGGGGGACAGCATCTGGTCTCCGATCTGGACGTAAGCTCCGACAGGTTTGTCGATTGCCTTGCGGCGGCATGACTACACGCCTTTGAGGACTGTGCTGAAGGTGGGTTCGTGAGGAAGACCTGGGTGTTGGACGGTTTCACCAGTATTTTTTTCCCTGGTGGTATGGACTATAGGAGGTACTGTAGTAGGCCAACAAGTACTCACTTTTGATTGGAGCCAATAGTTCTGAGGGGCGGCTACAGTATAGTATATTGTTGATGTCCACATCCACTGCAATTCTGTGCGAAGGATTCCACATGCTTTGTGTTCTTGGGATGGTTTCTTCCCACCCAGATGGTTCAGGGTCACTGGAGATTCGGGATTCAACCCCGAACCAAAACATGCTTTCAAGGTTCAAACTTCAACCAAGCCTGCTGGCCGCGGTCCGACCATAGGCTGAAGATGGCTGAAGCAATGGATGATCACCATGACCGGCCTAAAGTTTCCTAGGTTACAGGTGGCTAGATACATGACAGACATGATGGTGACTTCGGAAGGCGGTTCAACCAACACCTGGGACGCCCCAGGTGGGGGTGCCCTGCGTGGCACCTGTCTTGGTCCAAACATGGGTTTGATCCACGTAGGGGTCATGGTTTCGGTTTGGGGTGGCTCACCCAACCCCCGACTGACCGACGTCCTGGCGGATCAGACGGCAAGGACCAACTGAGCGACCGCCGGCGGACCGCAAGGACGGTGCCGTGGCTCGAGTTAGACTGCATGTTTCAGTGTGTTTTTTTCGAGTTGGTGCCAGCAGGTTGGAGATGCATTGTAGGATATTGTAGGAAACCATCCAAACCCTGTTAGTAAGAGCCGTCCCTACATCTTTCAGTCCAAAGCAACCGGTCGAGCATCGGGGGAAAAGCAGCAACCGCGGCGAGGTGTTGTGAGGTTCGGGTGAGTTCGGGTGAGCTGATTTTCCGGAAGAAGAGACATGTTTGTGTAGTTTAACAGGGGAGACACCCTTAGCCCCCACTGATTAGACTTGGCCCAAATTCCTTCTTCCAGGGGGCGCTTTTCTTCAAATGGTGACACCCACCGTGTCTACTTCCAGCTCCCATGTTCGGCCGACAAGCCGACCATGGGAGAGTTTCTCCTGGGGTGCTGTCACCTCCACTGGATGGGTCAGGCGGCTCCTAACGGATCGGTCACCGGCAGGCAGTGGTTGGGCCGGCAAAGCACAAGTAGTAGGGACCAACAGAGGTGGGTCAGAACCCGAACGTTCGACTATCCTAGTTGGGTACCCCTGGTATTCCCAGTTCACTTCACCTCTGTTTGGGAACCAAAGGCCCTCGGAACCGGTGAAGCTGACACCACTAAGCCGGCAGAAGCGAGCGAGAAAAACCGACCTCGTCGGAGCGACATCTGGCATGGTTGGTGGAAGGCTTCCCGCATGGTCCTTGGAAAGGGTCCCGTGATCCAATGTGATCCATGGTTCATTGGATATGAAGAGCCAGGTGACCTGCTTCAAACAGACCGTTCGTCCTTCCGTTTTTTCTCGTTTCTCGCTTCCGGACCAGGCGACACGCCTGCCCAAGAGTGCCCTTTGAGCAGACCAAGTGGAAGTCTACCGCTGTACTGTATGATCCCCTAATTACCCCATCCCATGGTACCAGGTCACCAGGTCAAACTCTGGCCGGTCGTCTGCCAGGGTCAGGTCGCGGAGGTTCGGATCGTCTGCCGCAACCCCAACCAGAGGTTTGGTGGAGACCGCTTCACGTTCGGACCCTGGTCTGTGGTACAGACCAGGGATGGGCGACAGGGCTGTGAAGTCCCCTCTCTGGGAACCTGTCGAACCAGCGCCGGCCTGTTTGTTGGACCCCCGCCCAGGCGCGCCCGCAGACCGGGACCTCCGCACGGAGACGGGCCGGTCCGGAGCGCCCGCAGACCAGGTCTGGGACCGGCCGGAGACCGGCGGGGTCGGGTCGACGGACCACCCAGCATTGGGATTTCATGGATCAAGGTTCAACGGACCTTCGTGATCCGTGATGATGTGAGGATTGACCTGTTGATCAACAGGTCAACCCCCCTGGAAGTCCGACCCCTGTTCGCTCTTTCGCGCCTGTGGAGATGAGACGACCCGACCCGACCCATTGGTCTCCGGACGAGCGACACCTCGCGGGCGACACCGCGGCCCAGCGGCCCAGCTGGCTTGGCTGCTTGGAATGGACGAAGGATCTGTTGCTGTCCTCAGATTCGCTTGGAATCCGTGGACACACCTGATCGGGCCTTTGCTCCAGATGGACTGAACAAACAGCGAGCCAATGCGAGCCACCTGTTGATGGATCGCATCGTGGAACGCATCTTCATTGTGCTTGATATTGGGACACAGGCATGTACCAGGACGCGTGAGGTGGTGAACAGAGGCCTTCAAAAGCATCGATATCATTTGGAGTTACTGTATTCATGGATACCATTGGACACTCTTCATTTTTTCTAGGTCCCAGTTATTGCATACAGTTTGTTGATGTTTGTTGTATTTAGTATGTTATAATTACATATAATTACTGTAGTTGGATAGAATTCTCACTACTGGGATCGAATGTTCATATGACTTCGTCGTAGAACTTTTTGTTAGACACCTATGATGGTTCACAAGTAGGATTGGTTGATCGTGGGATCACGTCCGGAACCTACTCTTTTGCAGGCCCGGATCTTTGCTGGCGGGGCACAAACTTCGTGTATCGCTATTCTGGGGTGGCAGGAATTCCGGCATCCACTGGAAGTCGACGGCTGAATGGCTGCAACACAGAATCGGACGCCTTATCTCCGCAGAAGGTATTACACAATAAATGAATACAACAAGCAGCTGGACACGGACTTTCAGTTTGCATCCAAGAAGTTTGTGCAACAGACGACGCTTGTACATTTTCACGCCTTCTTGGGCCAGGAACGTCTTCCATCTCTTTCATTTCTTTACAGGGCCATTTGAACCCGGCAAGACCAACACACAGCAACCAACAGAGGTTGAAGAACCCGAACTAGACTATCCTAGTTGGGTACCCCAGGTTTTCCGGGTCCTAGTTCAGGTCACTCTCCACCTTTGTTGGAATGTTTTTGACTTCAGAGGGTCGGAAATCCGCCACATGTCCCTTTCAATCCCAATCTCAGTGAGCTGCTGTGCAGCGCTGATGGCCCTGGACAGCTTGCTGCACTAATCCGCCAAGGAATCGCTTTGAAAAGGTCCGAGGGTTCCGTGTTTGGTAGGTTGTGCGGGGAGTGATCAATTAATTGCAGGAGGGTTTTTCCAGCTTGGTGATTTCTTTGTTTCCATCAAGCAACGGCACACCGATTCACATTGGATGTTCCTTTGGACCGTCCGAAGTCGGACGGCTCGGAACGTCCGGATGGCACCGTTGGAACCGGGCGCGGGAATCTTCGCGGTGGCGTCGGCATGTGAAGATTCCATCGGTCCACTTGAAGGAAGTCGAGCATCGGTCCATCTGTGTTTCCCGAGCCATGGGTGATGAGGCCTCGATGGGTCGTTGGGCGAAGCAAAAGAAGCATTTGCGGAGCATCTTCCGTAGGCTTGGTGGCTCAGAGAAAAAAAAGCCAAGTGATTGCGGAAGATGTGAGCCGAGCTTGGAAACACTGGACGGATCCGGCGGAAAGCTGTGCCAAGTATCCAAGCTATTCACTTCCAAAGAACGGCACACCATGCCTTTCATCATATACCCTCGAGTGACTTAGGAGTTCGTGTACTTACAATCCAAACTCATCAGAGGCACACATCCTTACTCACCAGAGGCTCGTATATTTGTTTGCGGAACTGATGTGAACGACGACGAAGCATGTGGTGTCTCTAGATGGTGGTCTTTATGGGCACTCGCCACCAGAGTGGAATTTGTTTGCGCTCTGGCGCCATTCTACCTCCCAAGAATGCGCCACTGGACATCACTGGGCACACCCAGTTGTCGATTTCCAGCCAGCAGACCTCAAGCCGCAGGAAACTCATACATCTCTTGTTTTTGCGCCGAACCACCCTACCACCTCCAGCGCCGAAATCACCCGCCTTCTGCCGCCGTGCCCGCCGCACCTCGCGCACCATGGCCCGGCTGCGCACAGAGCCGAGGAGGCGACAGATTCGGAAGTGGGGATGGGATGGGATGAGTTGGGGGAGTCGCACACCGAGCTGATCCCGTTGTGGGATCGAAGATGACACACCGAGAGGCAGGGCCCGTGTCACCTGGACCAGGTCGCCGAACTGGGCGGTGAAGCATCTGAAGCCGCGGTGGCCCAGCGGAGAGAGCTTCGGACATCGAAACCGGGAGGACACGTCCGGACCGTGTCCAACCGGGGGGACCGGAGATCAGATGACTTAGTAGGGGAAGATTGGTCGTGCTTTTGGGACCAAAGAAGTACATCTAGATATCTTGTTGGCCAGCCTTGGTGTCAAGACTCAGAGCAGCCTCATAATCAGTTCCATGGTGCGGCACGTGCACACCTAATTTATGTTTGTTTGTCAGAGTAAGGAGCAACTTGCAGGTCGTGTTTGTAGAGACTTTCTTTAGATAGGACATGTTTGGAAAAAAAAACTACCCTGAGTATCTGAACCCTACAAATTTGGGATGAACCCTACGTTTTTGTCGTGTTTGGAGGCACAAGGTAGTTACTCACAATTGAAAAACAATGCAATGGGTGTTCAAGAACACGGCCTTCTCCCGCAGTGTGGAGGGCGACCGGCCTCTCGTGGCCAAGCATTTCTGGGGACCACGTTCATCCCCTGGCTGGTGCGGCCCTGGCGGTCTGGCTGGCGTGGTCTGTTGTCACGGGAGGTTCTTATGGCACATGCGGCATCATGCGCAAGCACAGCGGAGGAAGAGGTGGATTCATGGATGGGCGAACCGAGGTGAAGCTTGCAATTCGTTGCAGCTTTCGCCCACGGACCTGGAGGCGACGCGACATGTTTGGCATGAAGAGTTTCAGGAGTTGCAGGTGACATGTTCTGTTGCCGACCCATGCTTCTTTGAGCCGTTTTAACATCAGAAGCAGTGAAAAACTGAAAAACATGAACTGGTCCTGTCTTCCATGTCTTCGACACCAGGTGGCATTCGTGACACACAACAGGGAAGTTGAATCGTTCTGATGCCATGAAACAAACATGAGAACAACCATCATTTCGTATCCTTTCGCATAATATTTGTATATATTGGTCAGTGAGCTGTGCACAGGCTATGGCAAAGAGAATCTCAGCGGTGCAACCGAGTGGTGAAGAAGTTGTTCTTGAAGTCAAGCCAGACACGCGCGTCCAGGAGCTGAAGCAGCAGATCAAGGAGAGACAGGTTTGGGATGAACTTACATGCAAGACTACAGGTGTTGAGATCGTTGTCGGAGACCACCAATTCCTCGCCAATGATGCAAAGGTCTTGGACGCAGTAAGCCCTGATACTACTGTGAGTGTTGTTTTTAGATCAAACGCGGTGCGATGCTCCAACCAAGATGCGATCACCAGTCTGGGTGGTGTCATAGATTCGGAGCTGTTGCTTGCAGTCGAAATCCCAAGCGATGAAACTAAAATTTCTGATAAGGCCTTTGCGGGTTGCGATACCCTGGCTAGAGTGACCATCCCGGACTCGGTGACTCATATTGGGGAATTTGCCTTTGCGGAGTGCAGCTCTTTGGAGAACTTGACGATCCCAGACTCAGTGACCCACATTGGAGTTTGTGCTTTTGCAGAATGCAGCTCTTTGGTGAGCTTGACCATCCCGAACTCAGTGACCCACCTTGGGGATGGTGCTTTTCAGGATTGCAGCTCTTTGGTAAACTTGACCATCCCCAACTCCGTGACCCGCATTGGGCGTGGTGCCTTTATGGATTGCAGCGATTTGGCGAGCCTGACCATTCCGGACACCGTGACCCGCATTGAGAATCTGGCTTTTCGCGGATGTTGCTCTTTGAAGAACTTGACCATCCCCGACTCGGTGACCCACATTGGGGACTATGCGTTCAAGGATTGCTCATCTTTGGTAAACTTGACCATTCCGGATCATGTGACCCATGGGAATTTGGGATGGCACCTGCAAAGGAGCCACAGCTAAACAGATGTAAAGAGTGTAGCATAGTGTTGCTGCCACCAGTGACACTAAATCGACTTCCCTTGGATGGTGCAGCTGGTTAGATGGACAGCTGAGCTTTGTCCCCCAAAAAGGTGCCATTGCTACAGTAGCATCACGCCTCAGAGGATTGCCAGAACAGGGGTGACCCTCAGCTGTGGGGCCAGGCATTTGAGATCAGCTCTAGGATGTTGAGACACAAGTGGAAAAGACACCTTATGCCAAGTGCCAAGGGCTGGGAATTCGTGGCGAAACTTCGTTGAACTGCTATAATCACATCTCAGTGCTATTTATGTTTTGAAAACAGTGAAGAATTGACCGTTCACCTCTGCCACACCGCTGTCACATTTGTGATGGATTTGTTTCAGCAGGCAGAACACGCATTTCACTTCTGCCGTAAGAGTCTTTGGACCTCAAAGCCCTTTTCCATTGGTTTGCACACGGATTCTTAGGATGGACTATTTATTCAACAGTGTCGTTGGCACCGTCCCTGCGTGAGGCTGCTGTGTTGGGGCGCCCAGCAACTCGTGAAAACAACGCGTTATCCGGTGGGACTCTGCTGTGGTGGAAGATCTTGCATTCTAAAGTGATTTCTACATGCCCCAAAATTGCAGCTGTACAAGGGCCTGCACGACCCTGGCTATGGCCACCACGGGCCGCTGGGAGCTGCCCTTTTTGGATGAGAGGCTGTGGCTGCCCTGTTGCAGTCCGCTCCCACCTGTGCATCACACAGTGTTTTCGGTTGATCGAATCAGAAGTTCAAGCCCGAAGACAGCCACAAAAGTGAGTCCTTAGGCTTCAACAAAACATTGGGACAAATGAATAGGCCACACATACCTGATAACATTTACACTACAACTTGGAAGGCCTTGTTCGGCCACGACGAAGCTCAGTCCCCACTAGATTGTTCACACCCGCCCAGGATGACATCACTTCGATCTTGGTGGAGCTGAGGGATTTTTAGCCGTTTGCTGAAAGTTCGGGCTATGTTCCGTTTCAGCCCCAATACACGTGCCATCACTGTACATATGCTGCCCTTGTGAAACCGTTGATCGCTCAAAAACAGGGTGGTCAGTTCGGTACTTGGTAGGTTGGGGGGTTGGATTGCTGGAGGGACATGCAGCGCCCCAGAGCGCCCCGGAGCGGATCGAAACCGGACCTTCAGAGTCAATGGCCCTCGTTCAGCAAATGGAGCGCGACTAGATTCTGAAGTGGAGATTCCTTCGACCACCTTTGCAGGTGTTCCAAATCCGCACCATGGAACAAAACGGTTGAGACACTACTCGCGAAGCCCGCGAGGCACTTGAGTCGGCTCGAGCATCGATATTTGTTTTTCACGTGTGTGCGATGAGGCCTCATGGACCAAGCACACGAAGCACATGAGACCTTCCATCATGAAGCACTTGGGGAAGATGCCATATCTTTGTGGCTCATGGAAGCCAGTGATTGCGGAAGCAAGATGTGAGCCTTCACGAACTTGAGGACACAGGACTGATAGGTACCCAAAAGCCGGTCTACATCCATACCACACACACACACATCCATCCAAGTGGGCACTTCCCCCGGGCCCCGAACGACCGTGTTGAAAAGCGGCGATGGCACGTCCTGTGGCCCGGCTCTTGCGTGGCATCCGCCGAGGAGCCGAGAACACCGAGAACGGGAAGATGGGTAAAGGCCATGGTATGAGGGGAGAGTCATACCATGTACCGTCAATACAGGGGAGGGTATTGATTGACAGCCTACATCTGTCAACATGATTGAAGGTACAGTTAGAGACGTGAACGACCGGACAGGTAGGACCGGTAGGACTTGAATCAATCATCCACCCCGACATCGCTTTCCCTCCCTCCAAGAATCCCACCGAACGGTGCGGTCGTGTCATGCAAGTGCGTTTCATGAATGGCTTCCCGTTGGCCTTCCGTTTTCGACCATTCAAAGAAGAGGGTTGACCTGGTTTTCATCGTGCCACATCCTTTGGAAAATACACGTTTCTTGGGGATTCCGCCATTCAGGCGATTCAATGAAAGATGCTTGGACACCTGAAACATGATCTCCAAATATATATATATATATAAAATTCAACAGTCAGAATGTATTGGAGCTCCGTTTCAACCTCTATTTGGGGACCAGACTTCGCAGGACCTGGACTTAGGCCCACGCCCTAGGGCGCGTGGCTTTGTGGGACAGACCCCTTCCTCCTTCACCTCTCTTCAGACCAAGGCGTCTCACCTGAGACACCCCACTGCCCACGAGTCCTCACGAGTCCTCACGGGTCCTCACGAGCAGAGGGGGGGAGGGCCAGGACCGGAGGGCCAGAGGGCCAGGGCGGGTGGGGAGGAATGGCATGGACCCCGAAGAATCCTGCCGACAGCCCTTTTTCTCGGATTCTTAGGGCAAGGCGATGCCAACCATGAATTCATCGTTTTTTTAAATTATCTCCAGTCAGTTTCTACAGTTTTATTATATGTCTTTACCGAAGCACTGCATTGTTGTACTAAGGATTTTAACAGAGCCAGATCCACGACTTCCAGGGTAATCTTTGTGGTCAGAACTTTCGGACGATCGACGTGAGGCTTGTTTCGCTCCTCGCCTTCTCCTCGCCTTTTTGAGGAGCTCTGCGAGCTTTCTCCAGCGAGGTCGGCCCGACCGCCCCGCGACCCGCCTCGTTGGGCGGGTCGCGGCCATGGCCATAGCACCCGAGACAACTGGGACCTTCTGGGGTGTTGAATGGAGAGAAGACGGATGGTAGTGGGCGGCCCAAGGGCTTCCATTGGTTTGGCAAATGGATGGTTTAGCTTTCCGCACATTTGCTGAACTCAGAAACAATGAGGGATCTGATCAACCAACAACGCCATAGCATGCCATAGCCATATTCACTTGAAATTCAGCAATGAGCTGAGTTGGGATAGACATAATAGATGCACCAGTTCCACCCTTCACCGCATGTCCGACACCGATCTTCATGCCTCTCGACAGGCCAAGTCGGAGCCGTCTGGGTCCCGACGAGCTGTCCTCGGATTGCTGGCCGGGTGCCTTGGGGCCCTCCTTGCAGGTCGATTCCTAGGGTCGCCCTCTGGGTTGAGCTATCTCCTCGTTGAACTCGCGGGCGGGATCAGGGCGGGATCAGGAAGACGCCCGGCAGTGAAACACCAATCCAAGCCCGGACACTCCATGTTTCTGGAAGAGTTGAATAGGTACTCCCTGCATGGAGGGGTCAATTGATGGTATTTTGGATTGGACGAACATCTGCCACCCCTTCCAGTCCCCTTCCAGTGTCCTTCGCTCCGCTCGTTCGCCGGCACCTCGCCTCCAGGTCGCCGGGAGCGGCGCCCTGGCGGCGGACGCCGCGCCGGAGGCCCGAGCAGCGCGAGGTGGAAGAAGACCGCTCATGGTGTCTGAAAAGCACCGTGTTGTCACACAGGAGACACGTCCTGTGTGCCTTTTTTCTGTTTGTGGTTGCCTCGGTGTCACGACTCGGAGCGCTGCCAACGGACGAACGGCAGCGGGAAACATCGACGACATCAGAAGGCGCCGCAGAACTTCCGTGACCGCCTTGACGAACTACTACCACTACGGATCAAATGAGTGTCCTGGGATCACCTCTAGGCCCTTTCCCCAGACGTCCCGCCGTCGTCCGGGCGCTTCGGCCGCGGCGCGGGGGGCCGAACCGTGCTGAAGCCGGTTGGTGGATTCAGGCGCGATGGGTGTGACCAACGCCATGCCCATTTCAAGCACAGAACATTGGAAGACAGACACATGCCGAGCACTGACGACAGGGTGCCCTGTCTGGAGACCTATGAAAGCTAGGGGCTGCGTTGTCCTAGGTGACCCTGAAAGGAAGCTGCTGGTGGTGTGGACTCCTAGGGCATCCACCACGCAACGATCATCTCAGTGGTTCGCACCACGCGGATTCCGACGGATTCCGTCGCGCCAGCCGCCAGCCATGGCGCCGCAGCGGATTGCAGCGCTGCAGCCGAGTGGTGAAGTCATGACTCTTGAAGTCACGCCAGAGATGACAGGGTGGGAACTGAAGCAGCAGGTCAAGGAGAGACAGGCGAACTGGGATGAACTGACCCGCAAGACCACCAATTCCTCGCCAATGACGCGAAGGTCTTGGACGCCGGGCTTGCTGCAGATGCTACTGTGAGTGTTGTTTTTAGATCAAACGCGGTGCGATGCTCCAACCAAGATCAGATCACTAGTCTGGGCGGTGTCATAGATTCTGTGCTGTTGCTTGCAGTCGAAGTCCCAAGCGATGAAACTGAGATTCAAGAGCGGGCATTTTTTGGTTGTCAGACATTGGCCAAGTTGACCATCCCAGACTCCGTGACCCACATTGAGGATTATGCCTTCAAGGGTTGCACGTCTTTGGAGAACTTGACCATCCCAGACTCCGTGGTCCACATTGGGGATCATGCCTTTGCGGAGTGCAGCTCTTTACAGAATTTGAGCATCCCAGACTCAGTGCATTGGATTGGGGATTTTACCTTTGACGCTTGCCGCTCTTTAGTGCACTTGACCATCCTGGACTCAGTGACCCGCATTGGGAGTTATGCATTTTCGAATTGTACCTCTTTGGTAGACGTGACCATCCCTGATTCAGTGAGCCAGATTGGGCGTGGCACCTTTCACAACTGCAGTTCTTTGGCAAACTTGACCATCCCGGACTCAGTGACCGAAATTGGGGATTGTGCCTTTGATGGTTGCACCTCCCTGGTGAACCTGACCATTCCAGACTCAGTGACCCACATAGGGGATTTTGCCTTTGAAAATTGCACCTCCTTGGCGAGCCTGATCATCCCGGACTCAGTGGTCCACATTGGGGAGTTTGCTTTTGTTGAGTGCTGCTCTCTGATGAACTTGACAGTCCCAGCCTCAGTGACCCACATTGGGAAAGGCGCCTTTGACACTTGCAGTGTTTTGGCGAAAGTGAACATATCAAATTCAGAAATGCACATTGGGCATCGTTGGGTATGATGTTGTTCGTTTTGCACATCCAGAAAGCGGATGCGACCCTCCCTCAGTGACCCACATTGGAGATTGTGCCTGGAACAGGCTTCCACATATTTGGGAAACTTGATCATCCCAGACACTGTGGCACATGGATATTTGGGCTGAAAAACGAGTTTTTATAATGGATATTTGATGTTTCGCCCGTGGATGACAGTTCGCAATGATACTTTTTCTTGCAGAAAACAGCTCGAACTGTCATCCCATGGATATTTGGGATGATCCCCTTGCGAACTGTAATTCTTTGGTGATCTCTGTGTTCCAGCACCGCGAAAGAGCCAGCTGAAGAGTGTCACTCTGCGAAATCTTCTCACAGGCTTCCATTGGCCACCCCTTGGAAGGTGTTGTTTGGAGGGCCTGGGTTGGTTGCCATGGGTGCCAAGCATCACGCGTTTGGCAGCTGGGAAAAGGTGTGACCCTCGGCGGTGGGGTCAGGCTGTTGAGATCAGCTCTAGGATGTAGGTTCGTGGGACACAAGTGGAAAAGAAGCACTACGTCAAGGGCTGGATGTCGTCGAGGGTGCACCCTCCAGGTCCCGTGCTCATTGCTGAGGTTCTACAACGACAGCCTGGGGCTTCGAGCCTACCTGACGAGTGGCACAGGCTGTGCTCGGGATTGTGACGTGTGGCACATGTGGAACCGGACACTGGTGAGTGAGTTTGCCATTCCCAGTCAATCCCGGTTACCACTATATAAGGAACCACAGATTCTAAGTCTATGGTTTTACTCTTTGGAACCACTGGTTACCAGCTATAGTGGTAACTGGATCTCCTGGGATTGGTGTCAGCATGACCACCAGCATCTCTTGCTTCGTTTCGGACAGGTGACGATACCCCAGGCGGCCTTGAAAGGGGTGTTAAGGCCTTGTAGCTCCTTACAATTGAAGGCGGTTAGGGCCCTAGGCTTCCTGGCCAACCATGTATTTAGTAGGCTTTACCGAATCAACTAAGGATTTTACACTACAAAAACCAGGTCAACCATGTTTTATCATTTTTCTTGATGGTCGAACGGAAGTCTAGGGAAGCCCAAACAGGGTGGCCTGGTACGTCTTGCTTTTGACATGACCGATCTCCATTTGTCTCGTGCGTCTTGCGGACGCCGACGCCTCTGTTGGATGGCTCCACCGTGCCGTGGACGAAGCTGAAACAGCCCCTCTGTTGGGTCCCAAGGTGACTGGATCCATTCCAATATGACCAGCAGAAACCACCATTCTGCATGCAACAGAGCCACGACCGTACTGCAGAAGTACGAGATTTTCCAGGCAGTGGCTGCTCTACTGAGTGCATGCCTTCCAAAATCAGACACCTCCATGTACGGTACTTGCGACATATAGAGAATACCTCTTCCGAATCCAGCAGTTCCGTGGGACCGGGGTGCCGTAGTCTGTAGGGAGGATCCGTCGTCCGAACCCAAAGCCGCGTCGTTTCATCCCCGATCTTTCCATTGAACAGATCGATCAGGAAGAAAAACCACTTAAAAACGTTGCCTCAGATTTGTCACGAAAGGTAGCCCCTAAGGGGATACCTAGAGTTGGTCTTGCGAAGGGGATACCCAAGACCTAAGGGGATACCTAGCTCTTCTCTTTCTTTTCTTCTCTGCAACGATTTTTCAACCGCTCGGTCCACCGCTCACGGTCGCCCCGGTGTGGCCGGGTGGTTGAAGCCGGGAGGTCCGGTCGGTGCCGGTGTGGCCGGGGCGCGGGACGCGCGGCACTCCCCGGACGCCGGGGATCGTTCGGAGTGCGAGGCCGTTCGCTGAAACCGAGGGGGTGGAGTGAAGAAGCAGATGGAAAGCAAGTCGATCACCCCACGGGTGGGGTGGAGCTCTGGTGCTAAGGGGGGCGAGGCCGTTCATGACCACTTCATGTAACAGCATTCATCAAAGGAACATCGTTTTGAGATGTTTGGATCAAAGGTTGTTGTTTTTGGGCCGCTGCAGAAGCGTTTTCCTCTCACATCCTCCAGCAGAAGTTCTCGGTGCGGATGACCCGACCCTCGCCGTGAGGAGCTACCTCGGCACCGGGCCCCGTTCGCGAGCCGGCGGTGCCAGTCCCAGAGACACGTCTTCAGAACTCAGGCTGACGGGGTGAGGACGAGGAGAGAGCGTCGGACGGGTGGGGGGGGTTGTGGATGGAACATGGGAGAGCTTCCCTGCAAGGTCGAGTTTTGCCAGAGTGAAGTTCAGAAAAAAGAGTGGGGTATTGGAACAAGTGGGTGGGATGGAGATGTTCAGTCACGGAACTGGTTCTTTGAAAAGTGAAGTTTGCAGGCACGTGCCTGCAAGCTACAGGGAAAAGTTGCATTCGAAAGAAATGCTTGTGGGTCAACCCCCGTACCCTAAACCCACAATAGTTTGACCACACTTAGTAGCTTGTTCTGTTCATTTTTGCTGGTGGAAAGACCCCCCGACGAGTCAGAACCCACCAGCAGATTCCATGTCGGGGTGTTTGCTGGTGACCTTAATGGAGGGGCCAGGCTCTGGGGTGCCCACAATCCACTCACTTAGGGATGCATGGAACATGGAACACATGTCCCATCAATTCAATGGGACGACTACATTGACCCATAAAACCCCCGGAACCAACCATCCCATGTTTTTAAGGTCAAACATGGTCAAACTGCCAGTGCCATGATGTTCGTGTCTGGGGAAGAGACTCTTCCCCCTAGGCCCTGGGCTTCACCTCAGTGATCATCGTCTGAGAATGTCTGAGGTGTTCCTAAGACTGAAACGGGGGTTGGTCACTCGAAGGGAAACTGCACCCGGACCTGGAGCCTTCAGATTCATGACCTCATCGGGCTCCAATCCCTAGACCATCCACTTGCATGCCTCCTCCAAGAGAGGTCGAGAGACCTGAACTAGGACCCCATAGTGGTACGTATGGGATGGGCGTTTTATAAGGCGGTGAAAAACCTCTCTTGGCTGGATCCTCCTTTCACCGCTGCGTCTTCGGGCGGAGGCACCGAAGTCGCCACTCCAAGTGCTCCGCGGGTTCCGACCGCGACGCAGGAGGGGCGGATCCGCGGAACGTCGTGTTGGGGGGGTCGTGTTGAACGGGCAAGACGGTCGAATGAGGTGCTTCAAAGCTCCCGAAATCAGGTGGAGCTATATCCTCCATGTTAGAGGATGTTGGAGGGGGAAAGACTTGCAAATGCCGGTGGCTTGAGTGCCAAAGTCTTGCTCTATTGTCACCATTGGACAGCCTTGTCTTGCGATTATGGCATGTATGCTGTCAAAACATTGGAGACGCAGACGCACTCTTTCACTGCAGTTCGACCTAGACTGTCGGCAGTCGGCGTCCTGGAACCCAGAATCATTCCAAGTCGGCTTCAACTGACTGACACTGGGATTCTAGGACATTCCTTCTGTTTGAAAGGTCTTCAACTTCGTTCTTGTTCTCAGGACGCCGAAGCGAAGGCAGCGGCAGCCGAGGAAGCCGCTGAAGCAGCCAAGGCTGCTGAAGCGGCTCGGGCAGCGGAAGCAGCTGAGGCTGCAAATGCGGCTGAGGCTGCAAAGGCGGCTGAGGCTGCAAAGGCGGCCTCGCAAGCAGCGGCCGCAGAGCAACGTGGGGGTGCCAAGGTCGTAGAGATGGACTGCTGGGGAGGTGTGTGGCAGCCGGGCCTAGTCATCAACAAGGATGAAAGTTGATAATCACTTGTGTCATGATGT